CAATCCGCCCGCCTCGGCCTCCCAGAGTGCTAGGATTACAGGCCTGAGCCACCGCGCCCGGCCCTATATATCATCTTTTTAAGAATTATATTGTTACATATGTTATTATGATATCAAGTATTTCCTACAGCCATATGCTGTACTACTTTTTTACACATAATATACATCTTAACCATTTTTTTTTTTTATTTGAGACAGAGTCTCGCTTTGTTGCCCAGGCTAGAGTGAGTGCCGTGGCATCAGCCTAGCTCACAGCAACCTCAAACTCCTGGGCTTGAGTGATCCTTCTGCCTCAGCCTCCCGAGTAGCTGGGACTACAGGCATGCGCCACCATGCCCGGCTAATTTTTTTATATATATATCAGTTGGCCAATTAATTTCTTTCTATTTATAGTAGAGACGGGGTCTCGCTCTTGCTCAGGCTGGTTTCGAACTCCTGACCTTGAGCAATCCGCCCGCCTCAGCCTCCCAGAGTGCTAGGATTACAGGCGTGAGCCACCGCGCCCGGCTTCAATTAATTTTTTATTCTTGTAAGAAGTGAGGTAGGGAGGGATCAAGGTCCCTTTTTTCTTTTTTCCCATATGAATATTCAGTTGTTTCAGTGTCATTTGTTGAAAAGACTTTTCCAGTTTAATTGCTTTGGCACCTTTGTAGAAAATCAGTTGCCCATTTATGTGTAGGTCTATTTCTAGACTTTCTGTTCTCTCACATTGATCTTTGTGTTCTTATGCTAATACTGTTCTGTCTTGATTACTGTATCTTTATAGTGTTTCTTGAAATCAGTATACATCTACCAGCTTTATTTCTCTTTTTCCAGATTGTTTTGGCAATTCTAGGTCCTTTGCATTTTCACATAAGTTTTAAAATCAGTTTGTTAATCTCTATATTTTAATAAGCTTGCTGGATTATGATTGGGACTGTGTTTATCATACATACGATTTATAGATTGTATTTGTCTATATATTAGTTTGAGGAGGATGGACATCTAATAATAAGTCTTATAAGCTATGCACGTGGTGTATCTTTCCATTTATTTAAGTCATTAACTTTTCTCATTAGTATTTTGTGATTCTTAGTGTACCGGTCTTATTCATTTTTTTGTTAAATATATCCCTAAGTATTTCATATTTCTGAAACTGCTATGAACAGAATTTTTAAAATATTATCTTCCAGTTGTTTGCTGTTAGTATGTAAAAATACAGTTGATCTGTATATTTACCTTTATATCCTATAACCTTGCTAAATTCACTCACTAGTTCTAGGAGCCTTTTTGTAGATTCTGTGAGATTTCATAGAAAATCATGTCTGTAAGGAGTGACAATTTTATTTCTTCCTTTCTAATCTCTGTGTTATTTTTTTCTTGCCCTGGCTAAGACTTCTAGTAGAATGTTGAATAGGAATAATGAGAGGACATCTTTGCCTTGTTCTCAATCTTGAGAGGAAATCAATTTTTCACTATTATGTGTGATGTCAGCTGTACTTTTTTTGGTAGATGCCCTTTATCACATTAACTTCCCTACTATTCCTATTTTGCTGAGAGGTTTTTTTTTTTTTTTTTTCTTTTTGAGACAGAGTCTCACTCTGTTGCCCGGGGAGAGTGCTGTGACATCAGCCTAGCTCACAGGAACCTCAAATTCCTGGGCTCAAGCGATCCTTCTGCCTCAGCCTCCTGAATAGCTGGGACTACAGGCATGCGCCACCATGCCCAGCTAATTTTTTCTATATATTTTCAGTTGGCCAATTAGTTTCCTTCTATTTTTAGTAGAGATGGGGTCTCGCTCTTGCTCAGGCTGATCTTGAACTCCTGAGCTCAAATGATCTGCCAGCCTCAGCCTCCTAGAGGGTCAGGATTACAGGCGTGAGCCACTGTGCCCAGCCTTGCTGAGAGTTTTTGATCATAAATAGATGTTGAACTTTAATTAGATGCTTTTCCTACAGCTAAAAAAATGATTTTATGACTTTTATTCTTTATTTTGTTCATGGGACTCAAACTGAGTGAGCAGCAGCTATCTTGAGACATGCCAGTCTCACGTTGTAGCTCTTGAAGCTTCAGTTTAGTCATGACATAACTTCACTTCTGCTTATTACATCCCATTGGTTGCAAATCATGTGACATGACTGCACTTCTGTCTCTGGGAGGGGCAGAGAAGTCACATGGCAATAGGCTGGTCTGTATAATCTTCCAGGAAGGGCAACAAGTAATTGGGATCGATAATACAATCTACTATGCACATCATTCTTAATTATATGTACAGGTTGAATATCCCTTATTCAAAATGTTTGGGACCAGAAGTGTTTTGGATTTTGGATTTTTTCAAATTTTGGATTATTTGAATATATATAATGAAGTATCTTGGGGATGGGGACTCAAATCTAAATATAAAATTTATTGATGTTTCATATACACCTTAGATACATAGCTTGAAGGTAATTTCATATAATATTTTTAATAATTTTGCATATGAGACAAAGTGTGTGTACATTGAACCATTGCAAAACAAAGATGTCAGTATCTCAGCCACCAATGTGGACAATCTGTGGCATCACATCAGTGCTTAAAAAGTTTTAGATTTTGGGGCCGGGCGCGGTGGCTCACGCCTGTAATCCTAGCACTCTGGGAGGCCGAGGCGGGCGGATTGCTCAAGGTCAGGAGTTCAAAACCAGCCTGAGCGAGACCCCGTCTCTACCATAAAAATAGAAAGAAATTAATTGGCCAACTAATATATATAATATAAAAATCAGCCGGGCATGGTGGCTCGTGCCTGTAGTCCCAGCTACTCGGGAGGCTGAGGCAGGAGGATCGCTTGAGCCCAGGAGTTTGAGGTTGCTGTGAGCTAGGATGACGCCACGGCACTCACTCTAGCCTGGGCAAGAAAGCGAGACTCTGTCTCAAAAAAAAAAAAAAAAAAAAGTTTTAGATTTTGGAGTATTTTGGATTTCAGATTTTCAGATTAGGAATGCTTAACCTGTATATAGTATTTGGAAAGATATATGAAGTGTACTTTATTATCTGTATTTCCTAATTTTTATATAAAAATATATTTTATGGTTACGAGGAACAATTTTTTTTTTTTTTTGACACAGAGTCTCACTCTGTTGCCTGGGCTAGAGTGCTGTGGCATCGGCCTAGCTCACAGCAACCTCAAACTCCTAGGCTCAAGCGATCCTCCTGAGTAGCTGGGACTATAGGCATGTGCCACTATGCCCGGCTAATTTTATGTATATATTTTAGTTGGCCAGTTAATTTTCTTTCTATTTTTAGTAGAGATGAGTGGGGGTCTCACTCTTGCTCAGGCTGGTTTTGAACTCCTGACCTTGAGCAATCCGTCTGCCTTGGCCTCCCAGTGTTAGGATTACAGGCGTGAGCCACCACACCTGGCCAACAAGTTTATTTTTGAGAAGAATGTAAATTTGGTCTTGTTTAAGCATGTATTTTAAATATGATTCCTTGTTTTATTTATTATTTATTTTCTCTTTTTTAATTTTAAAATTTTTATTTATTTATTTTTGGTTGTCCAATTAATTTCTTTCTATTTTTAGTAGAGACGAGGTTTCACTCTTGTTCAGGATGGTCTCGAACTCCTGACCTTGAGTGATCCACCTGCCTGGGCATCCTAAAGTGCTAGGATTACAGGCCTGAGCCACTATGCCCGGCCTGGTTCCTTGTTTTAGATGCTCAAATTTTTTGAGCTGGAAAGGACCAGTTATCTAGTCTGTCTACTATTTTCTACTGCCGACCTCACTCCCAGGTTTGTGGGTGGAGAAACTGAAAAGCAGAAATGCTTTGCTCCAAGGTCATGGAGACTAGTAAAAGATTCATTTAGAGCAAGACATTATCTGGATATGAAGTAGAAAGCAAGAAGGAAGGCACAAGAAATTAGTTTCTGAGAATTTTTTTTTTAAAGTGTTTTGTAGAGACAGAGTTTCACCATGTTGCCTAAGCCAATCTCAAGGTCCTAGCCTCAAACAATCCTCCCGCCTTGGCATCCCAAACTGTTGCAATTATAGGTGTGAGCCACTGTACTTGGCCTCTGAGAATTTCATACAGTTTAAAATGTTTTAACCCAAGGAATCACTAAAATATTCTCAAAAAATGCCTGAATGAGAAATTCATTTACCATTTACAAATACGTATTGAGCACCTACTACTTTGTCATCTGATCTACAACTGGAATTTTGAGTAGAATACCAAATATTTCTAGATTGTAAAGGATGTCCTTTAGGATATAAAGGACGTGTTAGGATTGTAAAGGATGTATTTGGATATAAAGGATGTATAAAGTATCATCAAGGGTGTTTTTCTCAATTTCAACATCTGAGAGACCCAAGGGAGTAATAATGATACTAGCTAAGATTTATTGGCTACTCATAATGTACTAAACATAGTTTTATGCATTTTACATGTATTCTCTTATTACTCTCAACAACTTCATAAGGTAGGTACTATTGTTTTATGCTTTTTATAAGTGAGGCAGTCAAGGCACAAAGAGGCTAAGAAGATTGCCAAAGTCATCTGGCCAAGTGGAAGAGGCACAATTTGAATTTGAGCAGACTTGCTTTAGAGCCCATGATCTTAACTACTATACCAAGTCTGTAGAAAGATGGACGACGTAAACCTTATATTATTTTCTAATACCATGATTCTTTCCTAAACAAGAGTTAGGTCTAGGTCAAATACGTGCCCTAAATTTTCACAAGAAAATTAAGCAAGCATAAAAATAAGGGGCCAGGTCATATCAGGCAGTTGCTAAGCACAGGTTTAAGTAGATTAAATGGAAAATAGCACTTTTTATGTCTTCATTTTTCTTATTATTGTTATGTATTATGGCTTAGTAGTTACAAGCATGGGCTTAAAGTAAGACCTGGGCTCAAATTCTAGTTCACTGCTTCCTAGTTTTTATAACCTTGGGCAGGTCAGAGGTCTGTAAGTAGAAGCTGCTGTTTGTTGGTTTGGATAGAGCCTGTGGTGATGTCTGCATTTCTTTCTCTTTTCCTAATCAGGTGGATTTGTTTAAAAAGAGTCTTCTGTTGATTCCTATTCACCTGGAAGTCCACTGGTCTCTCATTACTGTGACACTCTCTAATCGAATTATTTCATTTTATGATTCCCAAGGCATTCATTTTAAGTTTTGTGTAGAGGTAAGTTAATATATTGCCTGTTTTTTTTTTCTTTAATTTGTCTTGTGATTGGCCAGATAGTATCTTAGCTCTAAACAGAACAGCAGAAGTCAGAACCATGGAGGAACAGTTACTGTCATGAAAACCCTCTAAAATGTTGGCAGACAAAAGGACTATAAGAGGACTCTCCAGCTAGGAAGAGGTAGCTGTGTAAGATCTAGATTCTCCTCTGACATACCCTATTTAGATTTTGCCAGATTTTTTAATGCTTTCCTTGGTTTCTCTTAGAGCTAAAATTGGCTCATATCTTCAAAATAACTTCTTTAGAATAATTTATAACCCAAGAGAATCAACTGACAAAATGTTAGAGTTTAGCTAATAACAGTTCAGCCGAATGATGGGATACAAAAGCAAGAAAAATCAGTAGATTTCCTAATTTCCTGCACTATCAAGAACCAGTTAGAAATTGTAGCTGAAAACAAAAGATTCCATGTACAAAAGCAACAAAACATAAATAACTTGGGAATATACCCTAGCAAAAAATGTAGACGTTCTTTATTAAGAAAACTCTAAAGCTTATTTAAATATTTAAAAGAAATCTGAATGATGGAGAGATAGGCAGACTCAATATTGGAAAGAGACCAATTCTCTCCAAAATAATATATACCAATTTTTATCCTAATCAGTTTCCCAGCAGGATTTTGAATGAAACCTAAAAATCTGCTCCTAGAATTCATATCGCAGGCCGGGCGTAGTGGCTCACGCCTGTAATCCTGGCACTCTGGGAGGCCGAGGTGGGCAGATCGCTCGAGGTCAGGAGTTCAAACCCAGCGTGAGCATGAGCGAGACCCTGTCTTTACTAAAAATAGAAAGAAATTAATTGGCCAACTAAAAATATATAGCAAAAAAAAATTAGCTGGGCATGGTGGCGCATGCCTGTAGTACCAGCTACTAAGGAGGCTGAGGCAGTAGGATTGCTTGAGCCCAGGAGTTTGAGGTTGCTGTGAGTTAGGCTGACACCATGGTACTCTAGCCCAGGCAACAGATGAGACTCTGTCTCCAAAAAAAAAAAAAAAAAAAATTCATATTGCAGAATTCATATGCATGAATAGCTAGAACAATTTTGAATTAGAATAGTGAAGGAAGGAATACTTGCTCTACTAGATGTCAAGCCATGTTTCAAAGTTTTTGTAATTAAAGCTATATTTATATTGGCTTAGGAATAGACAAGTAGATTGGTGGAAGAGCATAAAGAGTCCAGAAATAATTCATGTATATATGGGAATTTAGTATATGATAAACTTGAGAAAGGAAAATCTATTCGGTTATGGCACTGGGAGAATTAGCTGTCTAATTGGAAAAGTGAAATAGAGCCTTCCTTCATACTCTTGTAAAACCAAATTCCAGGTGGAATAAAAACCTAAGTACAAAATACAAAACTGTAAAAGTATTTGAATAAAATATAGAAGATGCTATGTTCTTGGTGTAGAGAAAGCTTTCTTACACAGAACCAAAAAAAGACACAAGAAAAATTTAACCATCTCATAATTTAAAATTTCTGGCATGTCATAAAGTTAAAAGACAGGCAACAGACTTGGAGAAAATGTTTGTGACATATATATAATGGACAGTTCTTATCCAGAATATATAAAGAACTCTTCCAAATGAATAAGGGGAAAAAAGGACCTAATAGAAAAGGACAAGTGACAATACAGTAAATTTTAGGAAAAAATGCAAATAACCATTGAACTTTATGGGGAGATGTTCAGCCTAACCAGAAATAAGAGAAATGCAGATTAAAACTGCATCAGGGTTATTTTTGCCCATTTGATATTCAATTGTTTATGTGGGTATACAGAAATAGACATTGTTGTATTTTCTGTGGGGTGTATAAATTGATATGGCTGCTTAACAACAACTGCAATTCTAATCAGTTCTCACGGACTTATAAATTAAAAAGATGCATGTCCTATTACATATCATTTCTATTTCTTGGTATCTACTAGGAAAAAAATGCCTGTATGTGCACACAAAGATGGGGCCATGTACCAGGATGTTTATTTGTTGCAGCATTATTTCTAATAGTGAAAAATAAAACAGTCTAAATTTAGCTCTACTAAGAAAATAGCTAAATACAATATAGTCAGTATATCCTTACTGTTAAAGTGACTGTAGAAGTTCCAAAGAATATAGTAGATCTTCGTATCCCTGACAGGGAAAGGTGTCCGAGACATAAAATGCCAGCTTTTAAAATGTCTGAGTTTAAAAATGCCAGCTACAAAATGATAAAGTATAATATTTTTATAGAAAAAAATACATGCACACATACATGTATGTGTGTATATATACAAATACACCAATATGTATATATGTGTACATATATATTTGTAAATGGAACATCAAGTTTTGAAAATTCTAGTTTTTGTTACTAAGAAATACAGAGGAGGGGAAAAATGAGGAGTCCCTCTGGGCCCAGAGTTCTCTAACTCCATCCCAGAAGAGTTGATACAATATCAGGTATGAGTGTGTTTTCCAGTTCCCTTCCCTAATTGCTTGCCTGTCTCAACACATCCCTGTACTTGCCAGAGCCTGTGTATATTATATCACTTCCATAGATAAACTTGAAAACATATAAACAAAAATGTAGCCATATCAGTGCCTTTAAGAGTCAGATTCTGACAGGAAGAGGAGGGCAGGGGTATTGGGATCTAGGATATATTGATACTCACCTGCCTGTGCTTTGTGCCGGGCACTGATCCTGGGGAGTCAGGGAAGGGCCAGGCAGACATTTACCTTCATGGAGTCAATTAGGGTTAAACAGAATTTTGTTTATAAAACAGGCAGTTGATTTCTAAGTTGATTCTGGATTATTGGATTCTGGTTCTGCACAGTTATGGAAATATTCATCTGAATTTTTGCCCAAGTCCTCTTGCAGAGATTTAACCTTTTTAGCAAAATTAAAATTGGCCAGGTCATTTTGCACATTTTCAAAAAGATCCTAAGAGCAGACTTATTTTTGATGATACCTAAAAGTCGTTTAGAGCTAAGTTTAGTCATCAAGGCAGGTTGGGTGGGCTGTTTTTTGTGTTAAGAGGATATGGGGTCATAGAGGTGGCTCTATATGAGAGTTGGAGGGGGTGCTATATTTCCAAAGGTTTGATGAGAAATGTTTTAAACAATCACCAAATGTATAGATTCCATGAGACATAACAGCAGGGACTTCAACAGTTGTATGTACTACTGTGTTCCCAGCACTTGACACATTATAGATGTTCAGTAAGTATTGAGTAGGTGACCATTTTTAAAGATGTCTTTTTTGCCTATATTTTATTTATGAATTTACATATAGTGCTTATTCTGAGAACTTGAAGTTACTTGTTTGGAGGGAGAAGAGCAACGTGCAGTTATACTTTGTTAAATATTAAGTATCTGCTTTCACCAGATGTGTTTTCTTCAAGGAGGTAGCTTCTACTTCTATTCCACCTTCAGGGGCATGTATTTAATTCACATAACCTCTGACTTCACCCTTGATGTAGAGAGAGAAAAATGCACAAAGAGATTGAGTGAATTAGGGACATTTTGAAACTCCAGCAAGCTTCATCTTGGTAGACTTGACCATATTCAGTATTCAGAATGGGTTTGAGTATAACTCTTCAGAAACTAAATGTTACCTTCCCTGCAGCCCTTGAAAATAAGGACTATATCTAAGGCTGGAATGTTTTTGTTTTGTTTTGTTTTGAGACAGGGTCTCATTCTGTCACCCAGGCTAAAGTGCAGTGGTATTATCATAGCTCACTGCAACCTCAGATTCCTGGGCTCAAGCGATTCTCCTGCCTCAGCCTCCTGAGTAGCTGGGACTACAGGCATGCGCCACCACATCTGGCTAATTTTTCTATTTTTAGTAGAGACAGGGTCTCACTCTTGCTCAGTCTGGTCTTGAACTCCTGGCCTCAAGTGATCCTCCTGCCTCACCCTCCCAGAGTTCTGGGATTACAGGTGTAAGCCACTGTGCCTGCCCTGGAATGTTTTTCATTTAGTTTTAGTTATTAATGAGTTCTGCTCAATACAGGGTTGCCTTCCCTGTATTGAGCATTGGCAGTGATTAAGACTTTCTTTTTGACTTGCTAGTATGTAAGTTTCAAATGCAACACGTTGACTTACTGCTGGAAAAGGCTAACAATCTCATAAAACCATTCTAACTAAACAAATACCAGTGTTCACAGTCTAAGTGCATACCTTGAGTACAGAAGGTTTGAGTCCTCCTTAACAACGTGAAATGAAAGATCTGAAATAAAGTTCCAGCTTTAAACTCTTCATGGCATACATTCTTTGCCCAATTATGGGGCCATAGCCTCTTCCTTTGCTTCTGTCTGCTGTGGGCATGTTCCATTTTTCACCGACTGATGGAACACAGCATCTGTGTTGTGGTTTCTTTTTAACCAGAATATAAGAAAGTATTTGCTGACTGAAGCCAGAGAAAAAAATAGACCTGAATTTCTTCAGGGTTGGCAGACTGCTGTTACGAAGGTAAGTATGTGATAAAAATGAAACCCAGGCATGTCCAGGGGATGGAGTGATCTGAGGGGTGGGCTCCTTTAAGAGCATTTGAGGACTGGTGACAGAGACACCAACACCCTGGAGGCTTTAGGGAAGCAGTTCAAAATAAACCTCAGTTTAGCATTCATCTAGCCGCTCAATTTCCCAGTGCTTGCCGGGAGCAAATAAGTTATTTCATCCCTGAGGCAGTTGCTAATGATGTAGTTGCTCTACTGAAAAAATAAATTTTGGTGGGGATGGCACCTGCCTCATGCCTTGTGGCTTTTATTTCCAGATGACCCATATAGACCTCGAGAAATGCTGAAATGACTGTTTCAGTGCTCTCAGGGAGAAAGTGCACTGGGTTGCTTGCCAGGCATATACGGAAGACAGTCGCCTGAGTGCTTCAGGCTGAACACAACCTGGATGCACACCATGTTTGGCCCATAGACATTAAAGTTGTTTGTGGGACAGACTGCCTAGGCATAGTCTCTCCGTCCAGTCAGGACTGCCAGTGTCTTACATTGTGTCATCAGTGCTTTATTTCCAGAGTGTTTTTGTGTCTGTGATCTCATTTGATCCTTACAACCTGTGAGGTAGGTCGGTCATTTAGGGATGAACATCATCTTTTATCCTGTAGATGAAAAAACGGATGGGTAGGTATGACCTTCCCCAAAGGACATCTTAAACTATCAATAGAGTCAGGTCCTTTAACTCAGGTAGTGATCCAGACATCTCTCTGGGTCATTGACACAATGTTATAGACAGGGTCCTGAAACAAACCTTTAACCCAAGTCCAAAGCAACAAGATTTATTAGTTCATCCTTATACTGAACCAAATGCTAAATGTTAAAATTACCTTAAGTTTTGTGTTTTGAATAACCTAGTATACCAGTTCAAAGCAGAACTGAACTTGAGATTTTCTCAATTTACTCAACTAGAATATCTGGGCATTCTAAATTTAGGATCTTTGATATTCTCACTCTAGGCTGAATACAGTAACCAATCCTTGGAAAATATACTATTTACCTTCATGATTTCTTTCAAAGAATAGGACACAGTTGAGTAATACGAGATAAAAAGTGAAGACTGATAAGCAGAGTTGTTACCATCTAAGTATTCCAAGTCCAGGCATGTGTTCTGTTTTGTGATCCATGGTTTCATTTTGACTGATTATCAGTGAATTGATAACAAAACTAATTATCCAGATGGATGTTTTTAAAATAGGTTATTTTTCCCATTGCTCATATTTAGGCAAAATGTTCATTCTATAAATTGTGGTTGCCACTTGATAGCACTTTTTATGTGGCTAGATGCCTCCATACAGTTAGACATGTAAGATACTAGAGGTATATACCAGCTGTCCTGGATGGAGACAAGTTCCTGTCTTTTGCTCATTTTTCATAATAGAATTTTTCTTACCTGAAGGAGGAGTACTTGCTCTTATCTTAATGACCATTTTGTTTTTCCCCCTCAGTGTATTCCACAACAGAAAAATGACAGTGACTGTGGAGTCTTTGTGCTCCAGGTAAAGAAATACTATTTTTTCAGAATGTACAGTGTGTGAATTAAATTTGTTGGGTGTAGAGAAGAGAGATGGCAGGCCCTGTATGTGCACATGATACTACGTACAAGCAAGAGTACCTAGTATCTAGTACTTTCCCTCCCTCCTCCCCCTTTTTGTTGAGAAGCAGTAGTCCCTGCATTTTCAGATGTTCACATTAGAAAGAACTGCCTTCCAGGCCCAAGAATGAGCAATGGGCATCACCTGTGTCTTATCGGCGGTTATTAGGAAGCCATGTTGGACACCGACGTAAACATGTCCATATCAGAGGCCCCTGGCTTTTGCATAATTACATTTTTTTTTAAATCATTTGCAAGCAACCTGCAGGTCGCTGACATAGAGTAATTAGATTATTATCTTTTTTTTTTTTTTTTTGAGACAGAATCTTGCTTTGTTGCCCAAGCTAGTGAGTGCCATGGCGTCAGCCTAGCTCACAGCAACCTCAAACTCCCGGGCTCAAGCAGTCCTGCTGCCTCAGCCTCCCGAGTAGCTGGGGCTACAGGCATGCACCACCAATTTTTTCTGTATATATTAGTTGGCCAATTAATTTCTTTCTATTTATAGTAAAGACAGGGTCTCACTCTTGCTCAGGCTGGTTTTGAACTCCTGACCTCGAGCAATTCGCCCACCTCTGCCTCCCAGATGCTAGGATTACAGGCGTGAGCCACCGCGCCCGGCCAGAGTAATTAGATTTTAAATAAATTCAAAAACTGCCATCTCATGTTGTAGATCTCCTTAGAGGTCTAAAAACGCTATATGGAAGAATTTGTTAGGTATTTATTTGTGAAAGAAATTATAGTGTATAATTCATAAATTTAGAGATTTGTAAAGATCTTAGACGATATGCTCATTCATATATCTCATGAATGTTTGGGGTTTGTAAACAAATTCAAGTTCCTACTTAAAGGCCACATCGGGTCTAGCTGCACTCTCAGCAGGGAGGAATTGAGGCCTGTGTCAGTTGCTGCTTTTCACCGTATTGGATCAGGAGGGAGGGAAGATCCTAGCCATACACTTGCCTGGAAAGTTGACTATAATTTGGAAGTAAATATTTTAAAACAATGTGTTTTACAAGAAGTTTAGACAAACTTTAAGATGCTGCCTTAGACCCTATTGGGTCTGCATCTGGTAAGATATAATGGACTGGTATTCGGCTCTCCATGCCACTTAAGTGTTTCTGGTACCTTTGCAGTACTGCAAGTGCCTCGCCTTAGAGCAGCCTTTCCAGTTTTCACAAGAAGACATGCCCCGAGTGCGGAAGAGGATTTACAAGGAGCTGTGTGAGTGCCGGCTCATGGACTGAAACTCAGCAGGGACTCTGAGAAGTCTGACCAAGTTGGAGCAGATGGTTTGTTACTTGAATCTCCAAACAGTTATTTGAATTTTTACAGATATTTCAGATTAGTGGTGTTGGGCCACTATTGTTACCTCAAATTTATTTTTTGCCCTTATTCATTTCTCCAGCTACCATGTACTTTTGTTTAATGTTCAGTTTGGTTTCATTTTGAATTTTATGGATTCTGTGCATCCCCCCATATTTAATATTTATTATCCAAACGCATGCATATAGACAGAGCATGCAGTGAAGAGTATTAAAAAAAGCTTAGTAGATTTGGTGCAGCTTTTGACACTTAGTTAGACATGAACTGAATACAGGTTTCAAATTTAATCCCAGAACCTAAAAATGCAAGATGTTTTTGATACAGCATAACTCTGAGAATAGTAGATGTTCCCTGGGACATAAAGGGTAGCTGGGAGTGGCTTTGATAAAGCCAGTCCTGTTTTACATTTACCATCAATACCTTTCACTGACTTCCCTCTCCAAGTGAGTCTTAGAGAGAGATATGCATTCCTTTTGAAGGGTGAGATGGGAGTGGCTGTAAACAGACGGGTGTGTTCTGTTCATGGAGGCACACTTGTAAGCACAGCACCTGCTTTGGGAATAGTTAAAGAAGAAATGAAAGACAGCAACCTTGGGGGCCAATTATCTTAACAAATAAGAGATATCAGTCGTGGTTTTAAGGATTATAATACATGGCTTACACCTCATAAACATTTTGCTGGGACACTGAATTGTTTGGATTTTTCTGGTTTTGACCTGTTAAAATATTTAACATCCATCAACCTCTAGTGGTCAGCCAAATGAGAATTCAGCCTTTCTAAGAGTAATTTGCAAGTTGTAACTTCCCTTGTGTTGCCTCCCATATGGAAGAGATTAAGATTTACCAAATTTCTCTTTCAAGGGTGTCTGAAATTTAAACATTCAAGGTCAAAGACTGACTTTAGGTCTTTTGCAGGGTGGATGAGAAGAGGGAAGGTTATAAAGACAACTTGATTCCATGGGAGTGCAGCAAATATATTAGAGGTTTTTTTTTTTTTTTTTTCCTCTCTTCTTTGGTGATCTCAGCAACATGCAGGGCTCATTTGGCTTCTGCATGAGCAATCCTGACACTCTAGCATAGTTCTTTTTTTCCTTTCTATTGAACCTCATCTTCTGCAGGAAAGGGCAAAGTGGCCCTGTCCTTATCCTTAGCTGTGTTAGGATTAAAGTAATGGATCTTACATCTTTAATTTGGCCTTTTGTGACATATTTGAAAGGGAAAGTAATAAGGAAAGTACATGTTAAACCTACCCAATCACCCTTTCTAAACAAGGGGAGGAAAAACAAAAAAATCTATGTGTGAGAAACTCAGAAACCTGTATCGAAAAATATCAACTAAATGGCAGAAGATACTTGAATTTATTTATGCCTGGTTGGGTTTGGCTTGTTGAAAAGAAAAAGCTACAATGGTTAGTTTAACTTGGCTATAAGATATGGCTGAGAAAAGGCTGACTGCCAGCATTTGAGAGCTGAGTCAGACCATGTTTACATGTGGGGTTCCCAACACCAGTGTTGACACTGGGAAGCAGCCCCAGCACTTTCCTCTCCTGAGTCCTCCAGACTCAAACTCCTTAGTGTAAAACCAGGTCAGTATTTCTTATTGTGCTTCAAGTCATTAAAAAGACTGAGAATAGAGGCACTTTATGCTGCTACAAGTAGGGTTGTGTCAGCATTAGGAAAAATACCAATTAAAAGTGGGAAGATGTTTCTTGAGGTTTTCAGACATAATTATACAAATGTGAGATTTTTCAAAATTTGTATGCGAGACATTTGCCTCTGATTTTTTGGTGGGGAAGGTAAGCGGTGGTATACCAAAGTAGCCAGTAACTAGGCTATCAATTTAAAATGTCTTGTGCTTCAGTGTGAGGAAGTATCTGATTTTCTCAATGACAGAACCAGGCATGCAGAAGAGACAAAAAGAATTGTGTTCCTGCAAGAATCTTAATGCCCAGAGTTTGAGTTGCCATTTCCTCCAGTCTGAGAAATGGTCATTGTGTCAGCACTGAGGCTTAAAGGGATGAGTATAGAGACCCTTAGGTGAGCTGTTCAATTCCAGTAACTCCTTCACTTCCAGCTTAATAGGGCACCTTGAGGTGCACTGTCCAGCATGGTTTAGCTTAAATGTTGCATTTTAAAAGTCTGTTTTTAAATGTTTCTGCCATTTATGAAACTTGGTTTTAGCACATATAGTTGCTTTTCCCTTTCTTCTTGTGATTAGGTATAAACCTCTATTTAACTCCAATCCTAGATTAGAATGTCCTTTGTCCTGATGTTTGCAATAATTGCTTCCTTGGTAAGAAAGGCATTTTTGAAATATACTCTGGGCTGTTGGTGAAAGAGACAGGTATTGCTTACTGTCATTAGCTTGGCACTAAACTGTTTGGGTGCCCACAAAGTCTAGAAACCTTATGCTTTTGGGGTCAAGCTCAGGCCTTACCAAACTAAAAGCTACTTTTTTTCTTTTTTGAGACAGGGTCTCACTCTCTTACCTGGGCTAGAGTGCAGTAGTTTCCTCATAGCTCACTGCAACCTCAAATTCCTGGGGCTACAGGTGTGTACCTGTACCACGCCCGGCTAATTTTCTATTTTTTGTAGAGATGGTCTTATTGCTCAGGCTGGTCTTGAATTCCTGGCCTCAAGCAGTCTTCCTGCCTGCCTCCCAAAGTGCTAGGATTACAGGTGTGAGCCACTGTGCCCCGCATAAAAGCTACTTTTGATGAGCTTTCCATAAGCTGCCTGGTCCTCTCCATCAGCAAATTTATCAGGCTGTAGTTGCTTCTTTCTAGTGGTCTTTCCTTTTGTTAAATCTATAGCAATGAATATAGATTTAATTCAACTTTTAAATTCTCTCAAGAATCAAACTTTCAGTTAGCCTCTTAAGAAAGGGAAAAGAAGCAGTTGCTGCCAATAATCCCCAAAGCACATTTTTGCCTTTGTATTCTATTTTCTACTTAGCATTGAATATAAGTAACATGGTCATCCTGAATTTATAGTTGGAACAAAACAGTAACAGACCTAACTGGGACACAGGCAGCACTAGCCTAATCTGAGCTGCCCTTTTCTTTGCAGTTGTGGTACACTGCTTCCCTGGGTTAGAAGAAGTAATTGGGGTGTCTGGGTGGGTCAGACCCTTCAGGCAAGAAACAATGTATTAATAGTGTGAATTATATATATATATATACTAATTACCTGCTCTGCTTAATTATGTTGAGAAACTGAATTAATCAGAAGTTCTAAAGCACATACTTTGTTATGTGCTAGGCTTTGCCTCTTGGCCTGTAGATAATTAAGACCTAGGGAATACCATCAGAGAAGTGTTAATGTTATTTGAGTTAAAAGCAGACTTAGACAAGCTGTCCACTTAAATGGTACCTGTTGGTCAGTAAAAGAATTTATTTAAAGATTATGATCATGTAAAATTACAGTACTCAACCCTTCTAGCAAAATATTTTTTTTAAAAATAAACTAAATGCCTTTATAAACTTGTGTCCTCTCATGTTGAATAACATACACTGTTTGAATAGTAACCTTTCCTAGTGGCATGCCAGTCAGAACAAGACTCATTTAAGAACAGGGACCAGTGTACACCCTTACCAGCTTACTCTTAGAGCAGCATTATCCAATAGAATCTTCTACAATGATGGAAACATTCTGTACTTTCATCCACTACAACAGCCATTAGTCACATATGGCTACTGATCATTAACATGTATTTAGTGTAAGACATTGAGTTTCAAGTTTGGCATGTTAGCTAATAACATGTACGGACAAGACAGTCTACAGATCCAACCTGGCTAGATCTGACTCCTAACCCACGTATCATTTCCTAATCTTAGTATACATATCTCAACTTCCACTTTCTCTGGTTAAAGTGAGAAACAGGTCAGAATGCTGCTCCTGAGTGAAATAGCAAAAGGGTACAATGAAAAGACTGTCATATTTAGTGTCCCCCAAGCCCAAGAAACAGAAAGTTGTTTTAATTCAACCCCAATTTCCCTTCCCCACCAATCATCCAGAGCATGTTTTCTGGAAAATCAACCTATTCTTCATTAATAGAGAAGTTTGCTTGATGCATCTTTTATGATTTTCACAAGAACAGCCAAGCTCTTTATATAAATCCATAGCTAGTTGCAACTGTCAAATCAAAATGGATGCAAATTCTGCACATTATGTAGGAAAGAGGCAGAGACAATGATAAGTTCGTCCAACTTTATTAAAACCTGTTACAGAAGACACCATTCAAATAATCAGTTTGTGGTTTTAAGGCCTGTAGAAATCTGAGTTATGTTTTACTACAAAAGAATATAAAATACATTAGTTCAAACTATAGCATAAAAAGAAATTTTAAAAATGAACAGTGTATCTTCATAAAATGTTTGCAAATAATTTCTTTCTAAGCACTTACAACTAGTTACAGCTCTTTTAAAAATGCAGGTAACCAGTTTGAATTTAATGGGAAAACCTATACTTACCATAACATGAAACGTGTTCACATTGAGGTACTTCAGCCCCAACTTTCACAAACTATTGCAAGTTAGAAGATACTTTGTTGCTAAATGGAAAAAAATTCACATTTTTTCACATCAGGGAAAATTATACTAGACTTAACAGTTTTAAATGAGCAGTAGCTCACATTAGAGAGAAATCACCTCTTGCCTCACAAATGCAAAATAAATTCTCTAGACTCCCCTTTCTGTAGAGACTATCAGCTCCCTATCAAAGCTTGGACCTCAGTAATTAGCACATTTAGAAATGAAAACACACTTCAATATGAGAATTGGCTAGAATAGACATCTCCTGCAGGAAGCTTCTGTGATTGTTTTTGTTAAGCATTCTCTCAATCTTCAAGCTCTTTAAAACCCACTCCATTCCCAAGATCACTGAAAATGAAAATAAATCAGATGGCCCTGACAGCAACCTTCATCATGTCAAGGCATTGTTTTAACTTGTGTCTCTGATACTTCATCCCATTTCTGACTGCAATGTCTCCCCCACCTCTTGGAGTATTTGAGGTTCCTCATATTACAAACTCTTGCTTTTTTTTTTTTTTAAGCTTTAGGTATAACATTTACATTTTTTTGAAAAAATGTGTTTAGTAAATACTCTTCAAGTCTGCACCTAATTTCCTGATATGTAAAGCATAGAAGCTTTAGTTCCCTGGGACTAAGGCTTGCTTTTGCACCAACTATTAATATTTAGGAAGGCTCCTTGTTTCTAAGTTTTCCTTTAACAATCAGAATTCATAAAAAACAAATTCAGTTGTGAAACACCTGTTACTAATTTAGAGCAAAGCTATACAACATAGCAAAACCTCATTTATTAAACTTTATCTCATGCAAACTTAATAATTCCAGGCCCCAGTATAGATCATGAACCTACTTAGACTCAAACATGGTAAAACAAATTTAAAATTTTTTCCAGTCTTCCTAAAAGAAGTGCAGATCAAATCTGTTGCCAAGGAACACAGTTTCTGAAATGGTAACAGAAAATCATTCTGGTGACCCGACACATGGCCAAGATTCTAAGACTAGAATTAGAGGCATTCTTTTGTATTCTGTCCTTTAATAATTTTCAGAGGAAAACCATGAAGAGGCTTCCAGCTCAGCAGATAATGATCACAGCCTGGTAAAAATGAGCTGGTTTGAAGACCTTGGGTAAGGTTCAATAAATTCAACAGGCCAAAGGAGTGAGTTTTTCACCGATGGAGCTCTCACCACTCACTGGTTTTGTGCCAGTTTTCCATAGCCTCCTCTCCCAGCATCATAGTCTTGCCGATACTCATCTCGTACCTTAATTGAAAGAACACAAATTGGTTTAACAAAACTGCTTCCCACAAACATGTCATACAGTCTGCTAAATCTTTTCAGGTGCCATAGGACATTCAAGTAGGATGTACATACCTAAACCTGTTTCAGTGCATTTTGCTTTCATTCTAGACACTCCTACAGGTAGAAAATATCTAGCCTCTAGCAGAAGTTCAAGAATGGTTCCTTGTAGAAATGTACAGAATATACTGTTTCAAGGTTTAAACTAATTTACCAAAACCAATGGGTAGTTCTCAGATTTACTTCAAGCCAAGCTTACAGGCACAAAGTTATTTATAAAAGAGTAAATACAAATTGACAAAACACCTGTCATCACGATTGGAATCTCAGGCAAAGGCTGAGCCCAGAGATCCTTCCTACATACCTGGCCCCCAGATCGCCCACGTCCGTACTGCCTGCCCTCCTTAAAGCCTGCATCCCAATCTGTGCGAATGATCCGGTCATCCAGACGAGTTCCATTTATGTACCGCATGGCATTTTCTGCATCTGCTCTTGAATAGTATCTTAAGTATAAGTATTAAGGAACACTAGCATTTCTCCAAATGTTTTGGAAATACAGGAAGCAACATAAATGAACCTGAGTTGTTAGGAAAAAGTATAGAAGCTAATCCAACCAGATGGAGTTCAAACAGAATAACTTAGCTTGCACAGTCCTGTTTGAGACTGGTCCAGAAGCACTCTGGGAGTCAAACATGATATTTTTCCAGGGCTACACTGATCATGACTTCCTAGATATTCCTGTTAATAATTCTTTGGTCCCATTGTCTCTGTACTTTGGCTTGCAAAATGTAAAATGTTCAGTGTAGGTTTAGACCACAAACTGTATACTTCTTATCAAAGAAATAGTGACATCCAAATTGGGCACTATGTATTCAAGCACATAGTAGGCATTCAGTAATTTTATGTTGAATGAATAAAATGAATGCTGGATGGACAAACTGAGAAAAACTAGCTGGTAATAGCAGCTTCTCTTTGGGTATTTGCCATTAATGACTGATGGTCATTGACCTGCAAAGCAAATGCAAAAACACTCTGGTTCTCAGAGACTGATTATCTACTGGATGGATTTTCTTTGACTTGAATTTTCATTGTTCTCCCTCCTCTGTGAACTATTTTATGCCATTTCTATCAGCGGCAAAAGCAAAACTTGGGTAACCTGGTCCCTTGTATCTGATGGGAGAATGGAAGAAGCTTGCTGAGCCCAGAAATCAGATACCAAAATCACAAGTGGAGAATAGGTTCACAAGCAGGTGCAAGTTGGTAAGAGTAAACACATTTCTACTTTCTTTCTCAAGGCCACATTAAAAGGCCAGGAAAGAAGCATATAGAACCTAGCAGTGGAGTAGAGAAAAGCTCGTGGAGGAGTGCTAATGGAACAAAAGCTGTACATTGAAATATTCTTAAAGGAAATAGACAACTTGCAGGAGGCTTTTAATTCAAATTTGAATAAGAAGAGAGGCTACAAATATGGTTTAATTAAAGGTTTATCTGGGAAGACCCACAAGCATCTATCCCAGGCAAATAAAAATAAAAGGCATCTATCCCAGGCAAATAAAAATAAAACAACAAGAACTAGTGTCTTTGATGCTAGCAGGCCAAAATAAAATCTCTTCATTGTGGCATTTGAGAAACCCACACATCCCAAAGGCAAGACAGCAATTTGAGAAAGCAGCTCTGTCTGGCTCCAGTGAGTAAATATTCTTTTCCTTAATTATGAATGGAAACACAGGCTCATCAGACATTTGAGGAAAATTTACAACATAAATACAACCAAACATAACTCAGGGCACAGAAAAAAATTTCAAAAGACACATTAGATCAAATCTGGGAAATTTCTCAGGATATAAAATGGCAAAAAAAATAAAATACTAGTAAAAAAACCCAAAGAATCCAGAAGTACAATATTTATAGTTTCCAGGCAGATAATAAATCATCATAAGTAAATACGGTTTTGATTTTTACCATAAAATCAATCCATGTCTACATAATGAAATACTATACAGCCATTTTAAAAATAGGTAGACCTACCTGTGCTAATATGGAACAATCTCTAAGACAGGTTAAAAAAAAAATAGCACATACAGTATGCTACCACACAGCCACAGGACTATTTTCGGAAAGACCCAAGAAACTGGTAACTGACTAACTCTGGGGAAGGGACTTGGGAATTAATTTTCACCATACCCTTTATATTTTTTTCTAACACCAAGGGCATGTATTCTTGAACAATTGTTTTTTTAAAGCATCAACCATAAAGCACAGATTTCAGAACAATGTATATATTACCAGTTTTCACATTATAAGAGTGTAGGCACATTGGACAGAAGGTAGGAGGAGGTAGTGAAGGAAGAAGTGTAGGGATGCTAATAAGCTAATACCTTCACTTTTTTAAACAGGCAACCAATCTCTCTCAGCTCTACCCTGGTTCAACAGCTACATTAGACACAAGAAGGATACTCCACGAAACAGAATCCGCATGCTGTTTTTTTCATTTTATCCAGACCCATAATGATTTTCTTTATGTCACCGCTTTTGCTGAAGAGTTCATAGATTTGTTCTTCAGTTGTGTAAAAGGAAAGATTTCCAACATACAATGTACAGCTTTTCTTCAGTAATTTTTCCTGTTCTTCATTGTCACCCTAGAATTTCAAATAGAGACAAAATTAAGCAATACAACTTAAGAAGAGCCTTGCTTAAATAATATTTCTAAGTATGGCAAAATGTTCATTAATTCTGATTTGGAAATCAAATCTGCATCCTAATCCCACACAAATCCTTTGCCAAAAAAGAAAAATAGGCTGTTCACATTCTATGAAGCACTTATGCAAGGTCCAAACTGCTCTTAGTAGAGGGACAGGGTTCAAAAGTTACACTGCATGCAAAGTATAACTTCTACACCAGATTGCCACATAAGTGGCACATCTTTTCCCTGCACACATATCCTCAAGATTGGATCCTTCTCTAATGGCCCAAGTTTAAGTTCCTGACCTTGACCCAATATATTAGAAAGAGTTCTTTTGTAGTGAAAAATAAATGAATTTTCAGAAAGAGTTTTTCTTATAATACTCCCATAGAGACCATTCAAAGCAATAACTGCTTAGATGATTTACATGATCATATATTTTCCTCTGAGTTTAGGAGAAAATGTAGTGACCACTAAAACACAAAAGGTCTCACTTTCCTAATGGGGTTTCTAAATTGGAAGACAGGAATATAGCTGGGCTTCAGCCAACACACCTGATAATCCCTGGGGACAAGATGGCTCATCACGGGCTAGACATAGTATTTGAGACACCTTCACAAAAACCAGTATAGCTGTCCTTACACCTAGCCTCCACATGAGTAAGGACAAATGTGATTTAAGTAGAAGGCCTATCAGATGGCCTTTTCTCAGGCCCTTCTGCCCCAGGTTAGGGCTCTGATATTAATATTAATACAGTGGTATTCCAACCTGCAGAGTAGATCCATGCTCAGCCCCCACGGGCACTTTTCCAAGAGTCCTCCCTTTGTCATTTACTACTCCATAGGTAATGCTGGTCCAGTTTCCTTCACTCTGAGAATATGACTTTGCATTATTCATCTGACTGCTTTGTAGCACAGTGTTGACGGTAATAGGTCTCATGTCATCACATTCAGTGGTAGATTATAGAAATAGGAAAACCTTCTAAACTCACATGAAAAGGAAACCAAAATGAATTATGGTACATCTAAAAATGTAAAACTATGCAGCCCCTAGAAAAATGTGTATCTACATGCAGTGGTATGAAACATCTCCAAGATGGAGTACAAATGAAAAAAGCAAGGTACAGAACAGTTTGATGGGTATGCTCCAAATTATATTTTTTAAAAGCATGAACATACAGATACCACACACAAATTGGCAAGTATGTCTGCCTCTGGGGGGAATCAAGGGACTGCAGATCAAAGACTTACATGTATGCTGTCTTAAATTTAATTCTCAGAACAACTATATGAGGCAGGTCCTAATTTATCCCCATTTTACACATTAAGAAAGGCAGTTAAGTAACATGTCTAAGGTCAAACAGCTATTCAGTAGTTGTAGCTGAAATTTCTTATTCCCAATCCCACACTGCCTTTAAAAATCCACAGGACAATAGTCATTTTATGCTAAAAACAGGTTTTCAGGACTTTGGAATGAGACAGAAAAAAGTAAAATTAGAAGCAGGAGGCATTTCATTTCTTTCTTTCTTTTCTCACACATATAAGTAATGTCCAAACAAACAGCCTACAGCTTAAGACTTTGTGGGGGAAGGTACTTAAGGTATGAGATTAAAATGGAGTCCATTCAGGGAACACTAGAAATTCTGCATGACAGTATCATATTATCATCTAAATCTATAGGCTTTAGATTGCAGAAACGAATATAGCAAAAGCTAAATTCTTCCACAGTTTTTATCTTTCAACATGCCTTAAATTCAAGCTAGGTATGATGTGGACGTCTGAGGTAATGAGAACTGTAAAAGTGGTGTAAATGAAAACCATGCCTAGCGCTTAAACGTTTAAAAACTGTTGGTTGAGTGAATTAAGAGCTTCCTCAATTTGGCCTCAAACAAAATTTCTTTTTCCTTACCCTACTAACACACCTTTCACATTCTCCACGACCACCCCTCTCCTACACGTGCCCCCTCATTTCCCAGTCACAAGAAGATTTTCCCCTTTTCACAGCCCCTCCCTTTCCACTCATTTCTGCATTAGATTTTGATTACTTACCTCCATTTACAATCCCTACTACAGGGTTATGAGCTCTCAGGGTGCAGAAACTGTCTTCCCTCTCCCTCTATGGTTTAGCAGAAGGCTTTAGCTACACCACTCAATAAACGTTCACTAAATAATTGGGCTAATGAGTGCCCCATCCTATCCTACCCCCCACCTTTGCTGATACTAAAAATCCCACCTTGAATATCTGCAGGGTTACACCTTTTCGCAAAATACACTGTGACATAGCCTAGGCTAATATTTCCCTCTTCTGAAATCCAGCAATTCTTTGATCTTGATATCCAAACACCTTCAATATACTTAGCTTGGCTGGTCCACCTCCCTACTCCGTGGCCTCACCAACAGCGGAGTCAGGACTTAACTCTGCCTCTCATAACCACCGCGCAGAACTTTGTAGTATCATCCCACCAGAGAAAGAAAGGACCTGAATCGCTGATTTAAAAAAACAGGACCTGTTTGGCTGGTTTAAAAAAAAAAAGCTCCTGTATCTGGGTCAGGAAGCACCTCACCTCCACATATTCCAGGAGTGAAAAGGACACCCTTCCCCTCATCACACAGTCACTCTGCCGAGCAAAGCCCATGAAAATGGGAGACACCACTACTACCGCCGCTCAAACCTCTCTGCATTGGCCAAGCAGCTGCAAGAGAATGCAAAAGCGACGCTCAAATTTCCTTTCTTCAAAAGACAGTGGCTTCAGTGATATCCAAACGCCCTTCCAGCATCCATTCCCTGCCTCCCCAACAGGCACTGGGGCCCCACTTGGCGTTTGGGGACAGACACAAGCAGAATGGGATACGACACAAAGAAAAATGCAAAGCGTTTCTCAGCGTTCGAGCCCACAGCCTTCCCCTCTCGCGGCCCGGCCTCCCTCACCCGGAAGTGCTGGTCCCGGTACTGGCTCAGCTCCACGTAGGAGTCGCTGCGCAGCGCCTTCAGGCCACCCGACATAGTGCAGAGAGGTGGACAAGGACGCTGCGACTCTGGGAACAACGAGGTGGCGTCGGCGGAAGCGGAAACGCGCGGAGTCGACTGCCTGAATTGAGACTCATCTTGTCCAATCGGAGCGCGGCAGTGTCGTCATCAGACGGCGCGGGCGCAGAGGTGGTCCGCTGTGGGGCGTCACCGACCAGAAGGTGAGAGCGCCGTGCTCCCGGTTCCGGGGCGCTCGGAGGAAGATGGTTGTTCGGCGGCTGCTGGCAGCCCTGCTGCACAGCCCGCAGCTGGTGGAGCGTCTGTCCGAGTCGTGGCCCATCCGACGTGCAGCGCAACTCACCGCCTTCGCACTGCTGCAGGCCCAGCTACGCGGCCAGGACGCGGCCCGCCGCCTGCGGGGCCTCGCGGCCGGGCCCGCGGAATCCCTGAGCCGCCGGGCTGAGAGATTCAAAGACACCTTCACCCAGGAGCTACGCCGCGGCCTCCGGGACCGGCCGGGGTCCCCACCAGGTAGCCAGAGGGGCCCGGGTGCGAACACTTAACCAACCCCTGGCGGGGCCGAGGTCGTTTACGTTCCTTCTGGGCTCTACAGCGACCTCAGCGTTAAGGAATCATCCCGGGCAGTGCGCATGGCTTCGAATCCCGACTCAGACTGTTGGTCCGTGGACGTCCCACGCATAAGAACCTAGGCCCAACCGACATCCTGGTTGAAGTCCTGTGATTGAACAGGGCATAGTGTAGAGAAAGACCCCGAAGCCTGCAGAGAGAAAGATAGGCTGGGCACGGACACAGCACGTACAGAAAGCCACAATGAACGACAGCCAGAAAGAGAGCCTTCCCTCCGCAGATGGGACTAAAACTCTCGATGGATGCTGCTGCATCTGCACTGCCGTAACAGGACACTTAATTTCAGGAACGATCATGGATGGAGAGACAACCCTGCAGCTGCCCAAATCCTCTAATTAAATGTGTGAGCTAATAGGCATGAGTGTGGTACTTCTTAGACAAGATGGATTTGGGGGCTATAGGCCCATGGTAATAATAGTTGGCATATATTGAGTGGTTATTCTGTGCTGACACTTGCTAATTGCACTCTATGTAGGCCCTCTCGCTTACAACCACATTCATATGAAGTATTGAAAGCTACTTCTTAAGTTGTCCAAAGCCTTACAGAGTGGGATGTGAGCAGTCATTTGACTTCAGGGCCTAAGTGCTTAATCACAGCTATCTGCAGCATTTACCCTGACCCTCGATGCCTGTCTTCCCCCACCGTCACCACCAGGCATTAAGACTACTATGTACCATGGAACAAGCTACCTGGGTTCCTATTACCTATTTTATTTTATTTTATTTTTTGAGACAGAGTCTCACTCTGTTGCCCTGGCTAGAGTGCCGTGGCGTCAGCCTAACTCACAGCAACCTCAAACTCTTGGGCTCAAGCAATCCTGCCTCAGCCTCCTGAGTGGCTGGGACTACAGGCATGTGCCACCATGCCTGGCTAATTTTTTCTATATATTTTTAGTTGGCCAATTAATTTCTTTCTATTTTTAGTAGAGTCGGGGTCTCGCTCTTGCTCAAGCTGGTTTCAAACTCCTGACCTTGAGTGATCCTTCTCGGTAGGATTACAGTGAACTCCTAGCACTCCAGAGTGCTAGGATTACAGTGAACTCCTGACCTTGAGTGATCCTTCCTCCTCTGCCTTCCAGAGTGCTAGGATTACAAGTATGAACCACCTTGTCTGGCTTTTTTTTTTTTTTTTTTTGAGATAGTGTCTCACTTTCTTGCTTGGGCTAGAGTGCCCTGGTGTCAGCCTAGCTCACAGCAACCTCCTACTCCTGGGCTCAAGCAATCCTGCTGCCTCAGCCTTCCGGGTAGCTGGGACTACAGGCATGCGTCACTGTGCCTGGGTAATTTTTTCTATTTTTAGTTGTTTGACTAATTTCTTTGTATTTGTAGTAGAGACAGGGTCTCTCTCTTGCTCAGGCTGGTCTCAAACTCCTGAGCTCAAGCAACCTCCCTCCTCAAAGGATCCACCCGCCTAGACCTCCCAGAGTGCTAGGATTACAGGTGTGAGCCACCTTGCCTGGCCCTATTCCCCATTTTAGAGGGCCTATGATACAAATGAGAACTTTGGTCCATCTAATGCACCCTTGATTTAAAAGCCTGTTGTATACAGAAATGCCCTGTCATTTAAAGCTCCTAGCTAAATTTCTGATCATTTCTAATTAGGCTACAAAGTTAATCATGCAATGTAGGAAGCTTGAAGCCATAGGAAAAGCTCTTAGGCTGGTAACCAGATACTGACTGAGCATTGTATATTCTCTTTTCCCATTGGGGTGGGATGGGAGGCCCAAGACCCATAGCATTGCTGAGAAGATAGAACATCTGGCCTCCCTAATCAGAGAGAATGATTCTTAAGGACAAGGTGCAGGAATGGTTAGAGAGTTTCCCACTGTCCGTCAGGAACAGGAGTAGAAGGGCGTGGGGAGAAAATCTCCAGAATAATTTGTGTGGGTAATAACCAGACACTGAGACAGCAGGCACCAAACTGTCATTAACTGCAACACCACGGGAAATCTGAACCACATATTCTCTCTACTTTACCACACTGCCTTGCATGTATTTGGAAGGTCAGATTGGCCTTAGGAAGCCAAGGGTTGTCATGACAGCAAGAAATAAGGCACCACAGAAAGTTTGGGAGAGGTCATTCAGGAATGTCATTAGCAGTTTGTTGTCTTTTTTCACAACCAGATGCTGTTATATATTTAAAACATCACAGTGGCTGAAAGACATAGGGCAGGAACAGACATCAGTTGCCATTGGTTACACCAGGCTTCTTTGGGGACCTTGGCATCAGGACTGTGACAGGTCAGGTCTTTAGTCTCTGAGGGAAGGTGCCAGCTCACCCAGAAAGCAGGACAGCCAACAGCTGTGCTCAGGAAAGGCCACAACGGGAATCCTGAAGGTGAGCCAGAGCCTTGTGTCCCGGCCCAGCTACCCAAGTAGAAGGTGGAGTGGCACGTTCCATGGCTAAATCTTGGGCAGTGGCTGGTCTGTCATACTGTCAGGTTTCAGCCCCCAGCTCCATGATGTGAAGACTGAGGTGGTCCCTCCAAGCCCCACTCAGCAGGGAGGACAGGGCTGGGGGGTCCTCCAGGGTCAAATGGGGAAACACAAGTGTCTCATTCTTGAGGTGGAACCTGCACCTTTCCACAGCACGCCTGGTGGTGCCAGGGGTCACCACAAAGAGGCGGCAGAGCCACGGCCCACCAGCCACTTGGCAGGCTGGTTGTCTGGTGAAGCTTTTCAGGGCTTGGCACAGAACCCAGTCCTCGGTCCCACCCATGTCCACCACCTCCACAGGTGACCCTAGGCCTGGGAGGTGGAGGAGGTGCCGGGGGGGCATGTAGGTGTGGGTGAAGAGTAGTGTGTAGTGGGTAGGCATGCTTGGGAGCACAGGCGTGTGGACCACCCGCTCCAAGTACTCCAGGCCTGGCAGCAGGCCCCCCTGATGCAGGCAGCCGAAGAAGAAGGCACCTAGGACATTGAAGAGAAACAGGGTGCCCTTCCAGGGCACAGGGCGAGTCTGTGGGCTGCAGAGCAGGACTATGGGGACCAGGAGGGGGATTAGGAACCGCGCCTCCTGGTGGCTAAAGGCAGACAGCAAGGCCAGGGGCATGAAGTAGAGGAGAAGGAGGTAAGACCTGGGGCTGGACCGAAGGCTCCAGGCACCCGGTGCCCTCCGGAAGCCTGTGCGTGCAAAGGCCTGGAGGCAGACTCGGAGCTGTTGCCACGCAGCCTGCAAGGCCTGGGCATGCAGCACCCCAAAGAGCAGAAAGCCATTGACTGCCAGGTGAGTGAGCCGTGCGTGTGTGCCATGCCGTGCCAGGTTTTGGGGATTGAGGTTGTAGTGTAAGAAGTTGACGGGGGTGAGGACAAGGGGACTGGACCTAGAGGGGCTGGAGAAGTACCAGCTGTCCATGGCTACAAACACCGCTGCTACAAAGGCTGCCCCCGGGAGGAGTGACAAGGCTTCTCGGGCCAAGGACTTGAAACCAGGGTTTGTGGTTCCATGAATGCCCCAGAGGAAGAGGGGGACCAGAGCAAAGGCCAGAAAGGTGGGGCGGTTGAAGAAGCCAGCAGCCACGATGCCCCCAAGAAGCCAGCTGTGCCACCATGGCCCTGGAGCAGACTTAGTGGGTGTAGGGCTCCGTATGACACGGGGGGACACCAGCACCAGCAGCCACGCGAAGAGCAGTCCCTCGATGTTGTTGGAGAAGGTCCTTGTGTAGAAGACCAGGGTGACGTAGGAACCAGACAGCAGGACCAGGGCGCTCCAGCGGTTCGCCCCCCACAGTGGGGCCAGGTGGTACACAGCCGCATCCAGGGCAAAGGAGAAGGCAGTGACGAGGAGCCGGGGCCCCACGAGCAGCGTGTAGCCGCTCACCAGGCCAGGCCACAGCCCCAGCTCTTCCCAGAGCCTGAGCAGCCAGAAGGTAGAGCCAGAGGTCAGCAGAGGGAAGAGCACGGTGCGGCAGGAGCTGCTGGGGTAAAACTCCCAGGGTCGGGTGGCCTGTACACCCAGGATGTCCTCTGCGGAGAGAGAGGCAGAGGTGAGCCAGTTTCAAGCTCAGGGGTGTGATGGGCAAAATTCTAGGATGGCACCCAAGATTTCCCACCCCCTGGAGTGTGCGCCCTGCATAATCCCTGGGCCTGGGCACAGGATGGATTTGACTCCTGCGATTAGGTGTTAGATGGGAGCCTGAGTGGAGAATGGGGAGATTGTTGCAAGGGCTTGATCTGGTAACAGCAGCCTTTTAAAAGCAGAGTTTCCTCCAGCTGAATGCAGAAGAGGCAGTCAGAGTTCAAAGCAGGAGAAGGATCTGATGTGCCACTGCTGGCTTAAAGATGGAAGCAGCTACTAGCTAAGAACGTGAGTAACCTGTAGAAGCTGAGAGCAAGAAAACGGGGACCACAGTCCTATAGCTGAAAATAACTAAATTCTGTTAGAATTAGAGAGCTTCCAGACAAAATCTCAGCCTGGCCCAGACCTTGATTTCAACCTTGTGATACCCCGAGCAGAGAGCCCATGCGGGACTTCCGATCTTCAGAACTGTGAACTCACACAAATGGGTGCGGCTTCAAGCTGCTAGGTTTGTAATGTTATGCAGCAATAGAAGCAAATAGGGGAGCTCAAGGTGAGGGCCCACCTTGTGAAGGGAGCAGAAGGAACATGCCTGGGAGATGGGGTGACAATGAACCCTGGAAAAGGGTTTGGGGAGGAGTGAGGGAGGCTTTATTCCTCTTTTCAAGAATTCCAAGATCTCACAGGTCAGTGAGAAACCCGTCTCTGTGATTGTTCTCCAGGGGAGGGGACGCAGGAATGGGGAGAGGGGATGAGCCATCAGGATTATGGTAAAAGCGATTTCATTTGTGTATGATACTTAAGTTTTTATAAGAAGAATATATCCAAGTAGTACTTATATCATTAAAAAAATAAGTTGGGTGTGGTGGTTCTTGCCTGTGGTCCCAGCTACTCAGAAGGCTAAGGCTAAGGCAGGATGATCACTTCAGACCAGCCTGGGCAATATAGTGAGACCTCATCTCTAAAAAAATAAAATAAATAATTTAAAAATAATAATAAAAAAAAACCCAACTTGTTGCCTGGTGTGTGACCCTGTGCCCCGATGCCCCAAAGCTCTGAGAGGTGGGGGTGAGGGATCAAAATCTTAATCTCTGGCCGGGCGCGGTGGCTCAAGCCTGTAATCCTAGCACTCTGGGAGGCCGAGGCGGGCGGATTGCTCAAGGTCAGGAGTTCGAAACCAGCCTGAGCAAGAGCTCTCTACTATAAATAGAAAGAAATTAATTGGCCAACTAATATATATATATATATATATATATATATATATATATATATATAAAAAATTAGCCGGGCATGGTGGTGCATGCCTGTAGTCCCAGCTACTTGGGAGGCTGAGGCAGAAGGATTGCTTGAGCCCAGGAGTTTGCGGTTGCTGTGAGCTAGGCTGACGCCACAGCACTCACTCTAGCCTGGGCAACAAGCGAGACTCTGTCTCAAAAAAAAAAAAAAAAAAAAAAAAATCTTAATCTCTGCAGCTCCAACCCCCGTTATCCACAGCATTTCATGCTTGATAACCTTGCTGGTTGTGTAAAGCTGCTTATGTGGCCTGGGGGTCATTTAGGCTCTTTGCTTCTGCTACCCAATCCTCCAGCACTTTATGTATCTGTGTCAGATGGTGAAAGGGAAACAGAAAATCCAGAATCAGATCAATCTGGCTGCTCTTTACTGACTGAAGTTTTGTTTTTTATTATTAGAGACAATGTCTTGCTCTGTTGCCCAACCTAGAGTGCAGTGGTGTGATCATAGCTCACTGCAGCCTCAAACATCCTGGGCTCAAAAGATTCTCCCAGCTCAGCCTCCAGAGTAGCTGAGACTACAGGTGTGCAACACCATGCCCAGCTAATTTTTTAAACAATTTTTTAGAGATGAGGTCTTGCTGTGTTGCCCAGGCTGATCTGAAACTCCTGGCCTCCAACCACCCTCCCACCTCAGCCTCCCAAAGTGCTGGGATTACAGGCATGAGCCATCATGCCCAGCCTGGTTCAGGCTTAAAAAAAAAAAAAGTGTGGGAAAGAAGACTGAACCTTTCAACTTAAAAAAACAAATCCATTTATTGAGCAAAGATAGCTGGATTTCTCCTCATTATCTATTTATCTATTTTCTCCTTCTTCCCTAGTCTTTTTAGCTGGGCACTTGGTCATATATAAAGACTACATTTCCCAGCTTTCTTTGCAGCTCAGTATGGTCATATGATACATTCTCACTGGTGGGATGAAAATGGGCAAAAAGTATGTGACTTTCAAATTTGACCTTGATGAGAGTAAGCATGCCTATCTCCTCTGTTGGCTGGAAAGATGGTTTTTAGACTTCTTGGCTGGAGCTCAGGCAGCCATTTTGAACCATGAGGAAGAAGCCACAAGCCCACAGCATCTGAAAACCCTCCAGGCCCCTGGCAACCATCCTCATGATGTGTCCTAGACCACCTAGCAGATAAGTTCTAACAAGTAGGCATCCTAGGTTTGTGTCTCCTCACCCCTCACTTGAAGCTACAGAAGAAACATTTCATTATCTCAGCTTACAGCCCTGTGTAAGGTTCCCCAACCACTGGAGAAGCCCAACTCTAAAACTGTTCCACTGAGAAGTCCAACACAGCTTTCATTCTGAATGACCTGTGCTATTGGACCAAAAAAGGAAAACATCAAAGAGGTACGTTATAGTATCATTCCGAAGGTGAGGAAGTGCCTGTGAAGTGCCCCACTTCTAAGTGCTTATCCCAGAGGGGCTGCTGCTACTTTGCTTGTGGGTTTACTGCTCATCTGCACAGACATGCTTCTCCCTCTCCACGAGATATCCGATCAGCGCCTCAACCAGACTCTGCTGCAATTTATCTTAACCACACGTGGGGAGCTTTACCTGCCATGACCTCGGGCGACTGGAAGAACTCATCTGGGTGGACGTAGCCTGTCTGCGGAAGGAGGCACCACAGCACTCGGAGCAGGCCGAGGCTGCCCCAAAGCACCCTGGCTGCCATCTTTGGGTCAAATTGTTGCCAGAACACTGGGCTGAGAGCCTGGAATGACTTCCCAGATGCTACTCTGGATCCACAGATCTGCATCTGTTGGGGATAACATTTGTTAGCTATCATAATGTAAATTATAATATGTTCAACTATCTGAACAAACTCAAAATGGATCTACATTTAATGAAAGTGATAATAATAATAATAATACCTACTTTTTATTAAATGTCTGCTAAGTACCAGGAACTTTATATTCATGTCTTATTTAATCCTTTCCACAATCTGGGGACTTACTATCCCCATTTTACAGATGGAAAAACTGAGGCCTCTGTTGAATAACCTGGTTACTTGATAATCATATTTGCTAAGAGTCTGTGCAACTTTTACATATGCTGGAACCCACTCCACCATCTTCTGGAAGGTGATGGGGACTTATGTAACTTCCCACGATGAGAATTCCGACTCTTTCAACTCAAAGATCAGTGAGAATCTGAGCCCATTGCATGCAGGAGCGAGATCTCTGGTGAACAGGACGAGTTTGACAACCTGTTTGTCACTCCTCCAGAAATAGTGACTTTGCCCTGACTTCCTGACCTTGGTATTGTAAACCCTGATCTTGAATAGCTATTGCTCTCAGGTGTAATGTCATAATGTCATCAAGACCAGACATCTTGTCAACAAGATGAAGTAAAGCAACAGAACAGAACCTGGCAGATGGTGGCAGGGAGCCTCCGGATGCTCATTAAAATCTCACAGAGCTTGAAAGTTATTAATAAGTTTTGCAGCCTCTGCTTGAACTAACTGTATTTTTCCAGAGCCAGTGAATATCCTGGATTTTAGAGTAGAGTTTTCAGATAGAAGATGAGGCCAACAATGTATGCTTATATCAAAACATCACATTTTACCCCATAAATATATGCAATTATTATTTATCAAGTAAAAGTTAAAATTAACTTTTTAACTTTTTAAAGTTAAATTAACTTTTTAAAGTTAAAATATGATAAGGTCAAACAGTGCTGGGATGCAAAGGGTCGAATCAGAATAGTTTTCCTCATCAACAGCCAATATGATACTGCAACACAGGGGTGGGTGGGTGGGAGGCACAGTATCCATCACAGAGGCACAAACTTTGGGGTCCTGCAGGCCTGGTTCAAATCTGGAATCTGCCATTATTAGCTGTGTTACCTTGGGCAAGTTGCTTATGTCCTTAAACCTCGGGTTCCTCATAATTGAATCAGATGATAGTATCAACCTCCTAGGGCTGAGAGCGATCCAGAGAATGATGCATGGAAGGTACTTAGTACACAGAGCTCACACATCTAAGTGATCAATGCAAAGTCATTCTTACTATTATACTTTTAGTTGAGGCACAAATAATAGAATCCAGGCTACCCCAGACACTCTAGGAGATCCTCGAAATCAGCACTTCTGGCTGGGCATGGTGGCTCACGCCTGTAATCCTAGCACTCTGGGAGGCTGATTGTTTGAGCTCAGGAATTCGAGACCAGCCTGAGCAAGAGCAAGACCCCATCTCTATTAAAAAATATAAAGAAATTAGCTGGATATATATATATATATATATATATATATATATATAATTAGCCAAGCATGGTGGTGCACACCTGTAGTTGCAGCTACTCGGGAGGCTGAGGCAGGAGAATCGCATGAGCCCAGGAGTTTGAGGTTGCTGTGAGCTAGGGTGACACCATGGCACTCTAGCCAAGGCAACAGAGTGAGACAAAAAAAAAAAAAAAAAATCAGCACTTCTACTGGCCATGAAAATAAACAGGATTTGATTTAATCCAATTGTCAAGATATGTTTATGCATATGTTTGAAGCTTTTCTCTAAGTACAGAACTTGTACTATGTGATTAAGATAAAAGAATAAAACATATCATACCTGACTGAGAAACCCAGGCTGCCCTGCACTGATGTGAGCAGTTGCAGAACACAGCCTGAGTCCTGGCCTGCTGTCTTCACCTGCAGCAATGGAAGAAACTCAACAAGAAGACACCAGGATCTATTCCCCTTTCCCAGGTGACAGCTCTCAGAATTTCCTCTGAGAACTGATCCTTCACTCCCTACCACCAATGTTCAGCCACGTGGCTTGGGAGTTGATTTATTCCCAAATCCAAGTATAGTCTCTGAATGGTTTAAGCCATATAGCTTTCCTGTCCCATTGATCACGCTAATTGTCTCAGGGTCGGGCACATGACTCACTCTGGTGCAATCGGAGGAGCTAGGGAAAGGCTGGTAAAGGCGGGTCACACCCTTGCTCAGTGTCTCCAGTTCCATCAGGGTCTGCCACACACTCGCATTCTGACTTTCAGGGCCTCATTCCTTAGCAATCAGTACCCACATGTTAACATAGAAACCCAGAAAGGCTGGGAATTCCATTGTGTTGTCATTCAGTTGCAGGATGAGACTTGGTTTTCAGGATGAGATGGGGGGGGGTTTCTGGTTTTTAGCAATCTCAGCCCTCAAGTTTTCAGGAGATAAGGGGGTCTCCTTACAGGAGGCAAAGAAGCATTTTGTGACCTAAGCCAAGAACTTGAAGCCCTGAGCTCATTTTTTCCTTTTCTTACAGTGTTCACATTAAGGAACAACCAGCCAGTCTCACCCTACTCATTAATATGACTAAAAGGTTCCGAGGTGTTATATACGTGGTTACCCAGAACGTCACCTGGAGTATCCGATGGCAATATTTTGTGCACCTTTAATGCCGCATCACTCCATGGACTACCAGTGTTCTCTTTACCACTGGAAATAGAGTCCTTTGTGTCTTTAAAGCTAGTCAGACTGGAGAGAGAACCAATCCCAGAAAACCCAGAACCTATTCAGAAAACTCATCCTTAAAATTCAGTTCCTCTAGTCGGTGGAGCAAGATGGCAGAGGAGAAACACCGCCAGACAGAGTGACTCTGCAAAAAAGACAGATTCTAAGAGAAATTAGAAGAAAAAAGCAAGCAGACGAGCATACATCGGACAAGGGTTGGAAGGAGGGGTACCTGAGACCACGGGAAATTCCACAGGAGGAGGTTGTGGAGGAGAACTGGAAGAACAGACCTCCCAAGAAGCTTGGAGACCAGCGGCAAGGGTATATGGAGTGGTTAACTTTCCCCTCCCTTGCATCTCAGATGGCTGGTGGGCTCCCCAGCGGTTGGAGAGACCTGCGGACACCAGCCCTGACACACAGCCACTGCCAGTGAGTGGTAAGCCTGTAGCAGACGTGGCACCAGGCTCCCAACCCCTTTGGGGCACCTCCATGTGCACAGACCCGAGCAGCGAGGCAGGCACCATATTGCCTCATTCTCCCCTCCCCCGACCCTATCCGCAGCTGCTGAGAGAGACAGTATAGCCACCAGCTGGAGGCACTCCAGGGAACAGGACCTTCCCTTTTGGGGCCCTACAGCTGACTGAGGGGTACTCAGATGGTGAGCTCCCCACCCGCCAGCCCTCCCAGGTGCTGCTGGCCTGGTGATCCCAGGAGAATGGGGCAGACCCTGAGGCTGAAAGACATTGACCCAGCTTGGGCTCTCGTGGGTGAATTAGGACTGGCACTCCTCTCTCTGGTGGGGTCAGGGATTGAATTCCAGGACCCAGAGGTCAGACTTGCAGACCAGATCCCGAGCACCCAGGTCTCTCATTTCCTGGGGCACAGAAGCGATATTCATGAATGAGTGAGCCTACTGAGGTGTGTGTGCCTTCGGGGGCAGATCAGCATGCTTGAGGGCAACCCTCCTCCCAAGGGGAGGCTGTGTGCCCAGCCCAGGCGGTGACCCTGCACAGGGAACCTCCCATCCCGCATCACAGCCATGGGAGGCCCGGTGGCGTGAGGTCTGGCCTGCTGGCAGAGGCCCAGGAGAAGCCGGGGAGTAGGGGAGGGTGGAAAGGAGCGAGGCCTGCTCCAGACTGCAGGTCTCAGACAAGACCCCCCACATGCAGACTTTCTGACTGAGTGGGGCCATTGCAGCCCCTCCCTGACAGCTTTTCCCAGAAGCAGAGAATGTAACTTTGACCCCTGCTAACAGCATTTATGGTGCTTGAGGGCAGGCTTACCCAACCCAGCTCCACCCAGACTCACTTCCAGACCAGCCCTCACTGAGGTGGTGAATAAGGACACACTTGGAAGTCTCAGAGCCCCACCCACTACCTGAGGCACTAGAGTGCCTCAGAACAAGACCTGGTTACAGTACCCCAAAACAACAGTGTAGTCTGTTCCTCCCAGCAAGTGCCACATACTGACAGGGAGGACATTCTGCACACCATTTTATGGCATCTATTGACTCATTATACATGGTGTGGTCGAATCTCACCCACAAACACTACCTACTGGCTCAGAGACTAAACAGGACATGTCATTATCCAAATGAAAACCTTAAGGTAAGAAGCAACAACTGATCCAGATGGGAAGAAATCAGTGAGGGAACTCTGGAAATATGAAGACTCAAATGGAAAGCACACCCCCAAAGATGTACATCAACCAAAATCAGACCACTAAAATGACAGAAGAAGAATTTCAAACATGGATCCTAAGAAAATTAAACGACCTGCAAGAAAAACTGGATAACCAACACAAAGAAAATGCAAAAAGATTCCAGGACCTGGAACAAAAATTCACTAAAGAAATTGAAATAATAAAGAAAAATCAAACTGAACTCCTGGAAAGGAATAGTCAAATTCAGGGAACTACAAAACACAGTAGAGGCCGGGCGTGGTGGCTCACGCCTGTAATCCTAGCACTCTGGGAGGCCGAGGCGGGTGGATTGCTCGAGGTCAGGAGTTCAAAACCAGCCTGAGCAAGAGCAAGACCCTGTCTCTACTATAAATAGAAAGAAATTAATTGGCCAACTAATATATATAGAAAAAATTAGCTGGGCATGGTGGTGCATGCCTGTAGTCCCAGCTACTCGGGAGGCTGAGGCAGGAGGATTGCTTGAGCCCAGGAGTTTGAGGTTGCTGTGAGCTAGGCTGACGCCATGGCACTCACTCTAGCCTGGGCAACAAAGCGAGACTCTGTCTCAAAAAAAAAAACAACAAAAAAACAACACAGTAGAAAGCCTCAAGAACAGGGTAGATCAAACAGAAGAAAGAATC